TATGGATGCAAGAGTTGGACTATAAAGAAAGCTGAGTGCTGAAGAATTGATGCTTTTGAACTGTAGTGTTGGAGAAGACTCTTGAGAGTCCCTTGGAATGCAAGGAGATCCAAGCAGTCCATCTTAAAAGAGATCAGTTCTGAGTGTTCATTGGAAGGGCTGATGTTGAAGCTGAAACTCCAATACTTTGGCCACCTGATGCAAAGAGCTGACTCATTGGAAAAGACCCTGATGCTGGGAAAGATTGAGGGCAGGAGGAGAAGTGGACAACAGAAGATGAGATGGTTGGATGGCATCACTGACTCGATGGACATGAGTTTGGGTAAACTCTGGGAGTCGGTGATGGACAGGGAGGCCTGGCCTGCTGCAGTTCATGGGGTCGCAAAGAGCCAGACACGACTGAGTGACTGAACTGTACTGAACTGATGTTATATGTGGTAAAGTTAAAAAAAAAAATTGTGGAGGCCCTTAAGAATCATGCTAAGATGTCTAATTTTTATTTAGGAATCGCCAGAGTGTCTCCTGAAGGTTTTACAGCTGCAGTTTAGGATAATATCTCTAGTAGCAGTAGAGACTACTAGAGGAAAGAACTTCTTGGTATGGTTTGGGTGGATATGAATGAGGTAATGAGAAAAGTGGTATTGTGACAATGGAAAGAGGACCTGAGGACTGAGACTGGAGAGAACTGATCAGATAGAATCAGTAAGTTTTCATTCCTTGCTGTTGAGAGGAAAGAGAAATTAGCAAGTCGAAAGGAGGGTATATCTGGGAAGCAGAAAAATAACCCGAAGTTCTTAATTTGAGGATAGATGTAGGAGTCTCTAGGAACTGAATTTGGAAATGAAGATCTGGGACGAAGCAGAATTACTAAGTTAAGGACCATTAATGGGGAAGTAATCTACATAGTGGTTGGAGGTTAAAGCTGAGGATAACCTTGCTACACAGGAGTGAAAAAGAGATAGCAGAGAATAGAATTTAAGAATACTGGCTCATCAAATGGATCCAGAGACAGTTAACAAGACATAGCTATTTGGAGAGATCAGGAAGGTATCTGTTGACTATAGAATTAGGAGAACCAAAGGAGAGCATTTTTTTAAATTGAGGAATAGCTAATTTACAATGTGTTAGTTTCAGTTATATAGCAACGTGATTCTGTTGTACATATCTGCATGTATCTATTCTAGTTCAGATTATTTTCCCTCATAGATTATCACAAGATATTGAGTAGAGTTCCCAGTCTTTGTTGGTTATCTATTTTATCTACAGTAGTCCCTCACTAATTTATCCTTCTTCTGCTCCTTTCCCCTTTGGTAACTGTAGGTTTTTTCCTATGCCTGTGAGTCTATTTCTGTTTTCTAAATAGGGTCATTTGTATGTTTTGTTTTTTTTTTAAATTAGCTTCTACGTATGGAGTGGTATCATATGATATTTGTCTTCCTCTAACTTTGTTCAATCGGTATGATAATCTCTAGGTCCATCCATTTTGCTGCAAATGGCATTATTTTGATCTTTTTTATGCTTGAGTAATATTTTTGTGTGTGTATATGTATTCTTTATTCATTTATCCATGGATATTCAAGTTGTTCACATGTCTTGGCTGTTGAAAATAGTGCTGCAGTAGACATTGCAGTGTATGTATTTTTTTGAATTATACTTTTCTCTGGATAAATGTCTTAGAGTAGGGTCACTGTCTTATATGGTAGTTCTATTTTCAGTTTTTTAAGGAACCACCACAGTTCCTGTTCTCCAGGTGGCTGCAGTTTACATGCTCACCAACCAGTATAGGAGGGTTTATTTATTTGTAGACTTTTTGATGATGGCCATTCTGATTGGTGTGAGATTATACCTCATTCTCATTTAGATTTGCATGTCTCTAATAATTAGCACTGTTGAGCATTTTCTTCATGTGCCTCTTAGCCATCTGTATGTCTTCTTTGGGGAAATGTCTATTTAGATCTTCTGCCCTTTTTTAATTGGGTTGTTTGTTTCTTTGATATCAAGCTGCATGAACTGTTTAAATTGGAAGTTAATGCCTCATCAGTCACAAAGGAAAAAGTTTTTTTAAAAAGGCTTGGTCTACTGTGGCTAATCTGGAAAAGGTGTCTGGATGTGTAAGAACTGTATACGGTGAGATTAGCAAATGAGAAAATAGGATCTATGGTGGTGCTCGAGTGAGAAGAGGAGAAACAGGTTTTTTTTTTAATTGAAATAATAGCTGATTTATAATGTATTAATTTCTGCTGTACAGCCAAGTGCCTCAATTACATATATATATATATGTACATATATATATCTAGAGAGAGAGAGAGAGAAATGTTGATTAGTTGCTAAGTCATGTCTAATCCTTTGTGATTCCATGGACTGTAGCCTGCCAGGCTCCCCTGTCCATGGGATTTCTGGAGTGGGTTGCCATCTCCTCCTCCAGGGCATCTTCCCAACCCAGGATTGAACCTGCATGTCTTGCAATGGCAGTTGTGAGTGTGTGTGTATATACATATATATATACATATGTACATTCTGTTTCATTATGGTTTATCCCAAGAGATTGAATATAGTTCCCTGCTATATACAGTAAGACCTTACAGTCTATCCATTCTACATGTAATAGTTTACATCTGCTAACCCCAAACTCCCAGTCCAACCCTTCTCTCCTCCCCTTGGTAAACACAAATCTGTTCTCTGTGTCTGTGAATCCATTTCTGCTTTATAGATAGATTCATTTGTGTCATATTTTGGGTTCCCCATATAAGTGCTATCATATGGTCTTTGACTTTGTCTGACTTACTTCGCTTAGTATAGTAATCTCTAAGTCCATCTATGTTGCTGAAAATGGCACTGTTTCATTCCTTTTTCTGGAGGAGGGCATGGCAACCCACTCCAGTGTTCTTGCCTGGCAGATCCCATGGATGGAGGAGCCTGGTGGGCTATGGTTCATGGGGTTGTAGAGAGTCGGACATGACTGAAGTGACTTAGCACGTTCCTTTTTATGGCAGAGTAATATTCCATTATATATGTACCATTTCTTCTGTACCCATTCCTCTGTTGATGGACATTTAGGTTGTTTGTTTCCATGTTTTGGCTATTGTGAACAGTGCTGCTATGAACACTGAGGTGCGTGTGTCTTTTTAAAATAGTTTTTTTCTGAATATGAAGGAGTGGGACTGCTGGATCACATAGTAATTCTAATTTTAGTTTTCCCTGGAACCACTTTACTGTTTTCCATAGTGACTATTCCAATCCACATTCCCACCAACAGTGTAAGAGGGTTCCCTTTTTCCACACCCTTTTCAGCATTTATTATTTGTAGACTTTTTTGGTGATGGCCATTCTGATCAGTGTGAGGTGATAGCTCATTGTAGTTTTGATTTGCATTCCTCTAATAATTAGTGATGTTAAGCATCCTTTCATATGCCTGTTGGTCATCTGTATGTCTTCTTTGGAGAAGTGTCTATTTAGGTCTTCTGCCCATTTATTGATTGGGTTGTTTCTTTTTGAGCTGTATGAGCTGTTAGATTATTCTTAAGATGTGGGGCAGCTCATGACTGGACTGGTCTCTATTGGAAAAGACAGTATTTTAAAGATGGGAAAAATCAAGAGAATCTTCTTCTGAGATAATCTAAAATAGGACAGAACAAAAGTAGATATTAGAGAAATAGAATTTATGTATATTCAGTCCCTTCCTTCACCAAGTAATTTTTTTGCATGTATCTTTCCAACTGTACTGAGGACTAATTGCCAAATATAGTGGTACATATTTAAAATGTACACTGTGATAATTTTATATATTTATTTATATACACACACTGTGAATGATTACCAAGATCAAGATAAGTAACTCCTTTGTATCTGTGCTGAGAAAGTTTAAGATCTACTCTCAGTAACTTTTCAGTATATGATACTGTGTTACTTACTATAGTCACCTTGCTGCACATTAGATTCGCAGAACTCATATTGTAATATGTGTTTCTCTGTCTGGCTTATTGTACTTAGCATAATACCCTGCAGATTCATCCATGTCTTTGAAGATCTTGGCAGGATTTTCTCCTTTTGATGGCCAAATAGTATCCCATTGTGTGCATATGTATATGTGTGTACATGTAATCACATTTTATTTGTCCATTCAACCAAAGGAAACTTTTAGGTTGCCTCCACGTGTTAGATATTGTGAGTATATTGCAGAGAACACAAGTTTGCAGATATCTCTTTGAGACAGTGATTTCATTTCCTTTAGATATAAACCTAGGAGTGGGATTGCTGGGTTATATGGTACTTTTATTTTTAATGTTAGGAGGAACCAACAACTACTTTGTATAATAGCTGTGCCAATTTACATTTCCCTTAACAGTGTATAAGGTTTTCTTTTCTCTTTACCAATTTTCTATTGGGACTAATCATATCAACCTCTGACCAGTACTGTAATAAAATTATATACAAACTGCTAAGTCCTTTCAGTCCTCAAAATTTTATGTTCTAGAAAGCCGTATTATCACTTTCATACATATCTTGCATCTATATAATTTGAACACTGAACTTTTGAAGTTTTAGACTTTAATGTGCAGTACTTAGGACTGCTTTCATAATATAATATTTAATTAAATATTGATATTTTGCTGTATAAGTATTTACTGACTAATTATATCTTAAGGGTTGGAACTATAATATTTTTGTTTTTCATATTGTATGTAATACATTGGCACAGTGTAAATTGCTCAGTGAACATTTTGTGACTGGTTAATTTACTATTCCAATATATAGATCCCAGTGAGAGTTATTGATGAAAATAGATACCATCAAAAATTATTTTATTATGAAATACTTTATAAAGAAATTTAGATTGCAAAACCTCTTTTTTTCTTCCTTTCCCTCCACCTTTTAAATATTTTAAAGCTACCATCAAATCCATAACATCTTGAATCTTTGCTTGTTCTAATGCTAAAGATACTGTCTAGGAAGTCATTATTTAGTTAGTTGTAACTAACATAGACTCTGTTTTTCCTCAGAAGATGTATGCAACCAGCCCTTACTCCGATCCCGTTGTGTCAATGGACTTGGACCCACAGCCAATCACAGATGAAGAAGAAGGCTTGATTTGGGTTGTAGGGCCTGTGCTCGCAGTGGTCTTTATCATCTGCATTGTCATAGCTATTCTTCTTTATAAAAGGTAGGTTTGCCCAACGCCTCTGTGGCAGTCTTGGGGGCTGCCTTGTTTTTAAAGACTTTATCATCCTCTCATGGTCATTATGTGGTTGATCTTCGTAAAACTATTTCCAGTAATCACTGGGAGGAGAAATGTATCCATTAGTGTTAGAACAAAATATAAAGACTGAGCTCATTCAGTGTGTGGTATAGACTCTTGCCCAGCAGGCATGGATCCAATCTCCATCTTCTGAGGTACTTACACAGTATGAGTTCTTTGCATGGCAGTTGAAACGTTGTTATTCACCAGCAGATAATCCGAAGCAAATTAGATCATTAATTGCTCCATTTCAGCATGGATTTTGAAACATTATTACAAGTCTAACTTGCCCGAGTACTGCAATTTTTTTCTGTAGCTGTTTCTCAAAATTTAGCAAAAGTAGCTAAAAATTGAAGATTAAAGAAATAAAAGAAAGAAAGAAGATGAGCTTTTTCCCTTTCCCATTTTTCTTCTGACCCTTATTCCACATCTTCAGTATTGAATTCTCATCTGTGTCCAAGAGGAAACCCAAGGTACTGTTTTCCTTCTTGGTGTGTTTGACCACAGGTGGGATGCAAATAATCACACTAACCCATATTTCCTAATGTACTGTTTCATCAATCCTGTATCTGTCTCCATTACCTGTAAGATTTTGTCCCCTAGGTCACTGCTTAGTTGGATAGAAAATACTGTAATTACTTTTCCTGAACTAAAAAAACACAATATTCCAAGTGACTGAATTACCTTCCTTTACATCAATTTTTCTTCCAATCCAAATTTTACTTTCATGCTACTGTGAAGGTACTCTCTTCTACTGCAAGATAATTTTTCTTTGAGACCCAAGTTCGATTCCTGGGTCAGGAAGATCCCCGGGAGAAGGAAACGGCAACCCACTCCAGTATTCTTGCCTGGAGCATGCCTATGGACACAGGAGTCTGGTGGGCTATAGTCCATGGGGTTGCAAGAGTTGCACACGAGTTAGCGACTAAACCACCATCACCATAACCTTGACCTTCAAAATTAGATGAGAATGTCTTCATTTTGATTCTTGCTTACATGTTTAATCTGACAATCTTATTTCTTTTTCCTACTCCTGTAACTCCTTTCATTGGTTTACATTCATTATTCCTACCTGCATTCCTTTGTTCTCTGAAGAGATTTTTTTTTTTTCTTTCCCAAAGCTCTTCTCTTGATTCAAAACAGTACTTTTCAAGACACTGCTCCTTTGAATAACTCTCTTCTGAGACTGTTTTCCAATTCCATTCCAGGGCTGAGGGGAAAAAAAAAAAAGTCGATTTGAGGAAGTTTATAATCCTAGTGCCTTAAATTACCTATCCTCTTTCAGAATTAGAAAGAATGAAGAAAAAAAAACATTATTTTTCCTAATCGTTACCATTGCTCAATTGTCCACTGCCTACAATGGCTGAAAAAGCGAATGAATGAAGGCCAGAATATCTTAGTTGGTGGTTTCAGTCTCCCCCTTCCAGTCTGTATCTTATCAGTGTGTATGGTAAGGAGCCTGTTGTATCTGATCACTTGTCTCTTGTGTAAGAGCTAAGGCCTGGAAGCGCGAGGTTCCCACATGCCCCAGAGCAGTAAAAGATCCTGCGTGAGTCAAGGCAGGCAAGAGCTAGTACCCTTCGCTTCTTATGTACTGCACTTATTACCGGAAGAGAATACAGTCAGAAAAAAGTAAAAAACACATGTTTTACAGAAAACAACTATAATCCTAAGTGTTGACATCCTGCTGTGGGGGTCAGAGGAGAAAATTGCTTGTTGACAACTGTGTTTCTAGATCACATGACATTTGTTATTACTCAGAATGAACAAGATGCTTACCTTTTTTTAAAGTTGCATTTCATTAGGATCTATCTGGCTATCATTAAGTCATGCCACTTAATAGATATGTGCATGGCCTTGTAAACTGGTTACATAAATGTAGAGAAATAAGATTCTAACCTTGGTAATTAAGTTTTCTTTATCCACATGTGCTTGAAAAATATCAACTCAGTTATTTTAATTTTTCCTAATCCTGCAAAAAAGGCATCATATTTAAAGATATTATGACTATTTAAGTTGCATTTTAGTGTATGCATATGTGAGCATTGTCTAAAGCAATTGTTGGGAAATGCACACATCCTCAAATGCTAAGTATATTTAGCTAACCATCTGAAAGCCCATGAAGCATTTCTGAAATAGAAATGCTTGCTTCAGCAGTAAAGAACATTCCTGACTTGAAACTCAAGTAGACCCAACAATGTCCTTCCTGATTATCATGAAACAGTTCAAGAGGAAATCTTCTGTAGGCAATGAATAGTGTCTCTAATAGCCTGGAATCTGAGCAAAGAAAATTATATAACAAACACTATACCTCTCTTTTTAGGTGCTTTTCAGTTTATATACAGGTCATTGGTAATCACTCAGAATTGATTACCATCATTACTATTATTAAAGTATTTCACTTTCTGTATGCAGATAATACTGTAATTAGGGAATGAGTATGTAATACTGCTGACTCACAGTATCTTGATAACCCTGTTGGTAATATACACCTGTTTACAAGACTGCCTTTGTTAGGAATAGATCTACAGCTGTGGATGGTTTGTCCATATAAAAAAATAAATCTCACTGAGTCAGTTGAGGAGATGTACTTCTATTAATTATAGTAATATGGAATAGCAGTTATTTTCATTTTGCATTCTGTTCATTTGACTTTGTTTTAAATGTGCTAAAACCCATAATACATTGATAATCAATAACAAAGCATATCACTGAGGCTTTGTAAGGGTCTTAAAGGGCCATCAGAATAGTATTAATGAAATGTTTGGTAGATCTTTGTTAATTTTCCTGCACTAAGATTTTTTTTTAAAAATTCTGGACTGTATCTGTGATACATGTGCAATGATTTAACAGTTTTAACTTCAGAGAAACGATGTAGCAAGATTTAGAAAAAAAAAGTAAATTAGGAAGCAGGAAACATGAGTTCAGGTCCCAGCTTTGTAACTAGGTGGCTATAGGGGATAGAAAGTCATGCTAACACTCCAGGCCCTGGTTTTTTCACTTCTAAAATAAGTACATAGATTAGATAACTGACCTTTTTTAAATATGAGAACCTAAAAAAAAAAAAATTAAGTAATAGAATTAACATTGTATTATTTTTACCTTCAGTGCACATGTACGTTTTCTAAATGACTCCATGTTGCCCTTCATCTGTCCTCCCCTACAAAGAAAAAAGAATCCACAGAGTGATTGAATGGTCTTTGCTGTTCATCTACCCTGCACACCTGCTACATCTGTAAGGCTTTTCAATCATTAGTTCTAAAACTGTTCAGGAATTATTTCTATAGAAAATATTCTTAAAATGTAAATCTAAGAAAAGCATTTCAAGATGGATAAGTATTTATTATATACTATGAAAGGGAAAACACGGATTAGGATGTTAGAAAGCACGAAGACATGGTCTAGAGCAAATTATCATTCCTGAATAGTAATAGTCTAATGTGAGTGGAGAGTAAATAATTCCCATCCCCACCTCTGGAGGTTCATGTGTGAAGACCATGAGGAAGATGTGACTAAGGTATAGACCTTTCCTTTTTCTCCTTTTCCGAGATCCAACAAGTGGTTCCCTGTGGACTCCACCTCTTTAATCTTTTCGAGTCAGCCCTACATATATTCCCATGGTATCAGAGTCCAGAATATTTTGAGATGCTGTGAAGAAATAGGCATCCACACTGGGCTATGCCTTCTCGCCTTTGAGGTCCTTTGGAAAGTCTTTCTACTCATTCCACAGGCACTTGTCTTGACCCAGCAAACTCTCACTCACCCTTTAGAAGTAAGCTAAGATCCACTTGCTAAATGAAAGCCTTTCTGAGTGTCCACCTCATGTCCTCTTTTAGCAGGTAAGGCTGCCTTAAGGTCCCCTTCTCTATGCTCCTAAAGCACTTTCTGCTTATCTTTATCATAGAACCTACTGCATTACTGCCATTGCCCATTTCCTTGGCTTTCTGCCCCCACTAAACTGTAGGTCAAGGACTCCGTCTTATTCCTCATGGTATTTCCTTATGCCAAGGCGAGTGCATGGTGCAGAGGGCTACTGAAGAATCAAATTTATAAGAGTCAAATAGTGATAGATAAACTCAGTCCCCTCCTCTTATTTATTCCATCTCTCATTATCACCTTCATCTTGACTGGCAAGAGCTGTAATGAAATCCTTAGCCTGCAATTTAAATTCCAAAAGATTTTAAACTTATAGATATTTGCACAAAATATGTACCCATGTGCAGTAAGGCTGACATTTCTGTGGTAGAGGAATGAAGTGGAGAGTATGCACTGGTTCATCCTAGTATTCAACAGCCTTTTCATATACAAAACTGGCAATTCACTAAGTATTTCACTCTGTCAGAGAAATGGGTTTTCCTACAACGGAGTCACTGATGACTTCACTGATTGATTAAAAATAAGCCAAGTTAGGAACACTTGTAGGATTTTTAAAAACTTGCCATAACTAGCTAAATCACTTTAAGAATCAAAAGAACCTGTGTGTCTGGTATCATTTTCATTATTCACTTTGTATGTGTGTGTGTTTGTACAGTTTAAATGTGGACTTTGTACTTTTCAAAAGCTATGGACTGGATTATCTTAAGGGAAGATATTGTAGCAATATGGGTGTATAGTTTGTTGGCTGTGAGGTAGACCTGGTATCTTTGTTTCTTGCAATTGAGAACTCACAAAATATTTTGCAGTTTGCCTCAACATGAAGACTATTTAGATGAATTCTTTTTAGGTGAAGGTTACACTTTCTGCATAAAGAACATGGTTAAACAGTCCACATTATTATCACGGGTGAAAGTGCCAATGAGAGTGAGCTGGAAGCCTTCACATACAGTAGTGCCTCTGTGACTAGGAAAATATGGGTCATGTCAGTGACTGGTAATAAATTACTTTTCTGGATTAGCACAGCTATATAGATGGGTTATGCTCTGTAGATATAATGATGAGTATTATATTTTCCAAAACTGAAAATGTATTTAAGCTTTTACTGGAAAAAAGAAGATTTATAATCACCTTACTTGCTAAAATGTGTTTGAAGAACTCATCTCTGCCACTTAATTACCTTGTGGTATATTATACAATTGTGCAAATTTTTCTGCAGGTCAGTGCAATTTGCAGGTGTTTTAAAGGAATGATGTACCTCTTAACAGAAGACTGTTTTTAATGAACTAAATTTCTTATATGGGATAATGTTATATTCCCATTAAATACATTACTTGTTGTCTCATGGCATGCTTTTTAAAAATCAAATAATATCTCTGCCATCAAACTCTTCCTAGGATATAATTAGTTGTGGCAGTGTTTTGTAGGTTGATGAATAAAAGTGAATCTGACATTAATACACCCACAAATGCTTTGCTTAGCCATGCACTCTCATGTCTTCCATTTGCTTCATGATTAGAGGCCTTGGAATATTTTGATATGCTATCATTTTCTAATGTGTGTCAGTGTATGTCCCTAATGATGAGCTGTTAAATCTTGGTTGTCATGGTTACTCTTGTTACCATTGGCCAACTAACATTTAGCCTCTCTTTTTCTTTTTTGCTGCATTAAAATGGAGCAGTAAGCCTGACAGGTGAGGAATAGAGAACAAACCCCTTTAATGCTCAGAACAAAAAACCAAGACAGACAGGTACACTTTGGAGGTATTGAGGGGGTGAGGGTGGAGGTTGGATATAGAAGATGAAACTGGCAAAGGGAACATGGACAAAGCCTAGGTATAAAAAGTAATTTTGATATTAAAATGATTCAGGAAGTAGTCATTTATATATGACGCTAAAATAGATTATTTAAAGGTAAATTTAAAAGGTAGTAAAACCTGTCTCTGAGTTTTAAATGAGCATTTGTATGTGTTAACGTGAGTCATTTTTGTTTTGTTTGTTTTTACCGAAAGTATGATCTCAAGACCCTTTGTACAGGAATACTAACATTTTTATACCCTGCTAATATTGATGGCAATACTTTAGTAAGAATTTATATTTAATTCCAAATTATTTTCCCTGTCCTCTAGCCTTGAAGAATAATAGCAATAATAATCATTCCTATATTGCTTGTTTATTTACTGATCAGTCCAAGCTAACCTTTCAGCTTTCTAACACACACACACATTTATGAATTCTTGGTTAAAATTAAGCAAAGGATCTCAATGCCCATCTAACCTGCCTCCCCTTCCAGTGTTGTATTCAGTGGTTCTCTTTGGAGACAAGTAGCAAGAACATCAGCATCACCTAGGAACCTGATAGAAACACAAATTCTTGATCCCACTGACCTCGGACCTACGAATCAAAAACTCTGGGGGGTTGGTCCAGCAGCCTGTAGTTTAACAAGCCCTCTTGGATGACTCTGATGCATACCAGAGAATCACTGCTACATTATTTTCCTTAAAACCATGAAACACTGGTCAACAAGCTGCATTACACTTTCACTGACAGCAAACAATAACTCAGAGAACCTGTCTTGTCATTAATCCAGCAGAAAAACACACACAAAATAGTTATTTTTAAGGCAAAAGTCAAAACACTTTGAATCCACTTAAATAAGATCAGAGATCTACCTCTCACTATAAAACTGGCCACATTTCAGCACTACCTTCTTGTTCTATCAAGAGAGCTGAACCAAAACTTAACATCATCTAACCTTTCTCTCCTGTTGTATAAGTGAAGAAATTAAGTAATTGTAGTTGACTTACCCAAGGAGATACCAGTAGTGGCAAAGTTGGGCTTCTGTTCTTGATGTCGTCAGAATCGTGAACTGATTTCTTTGAAATCTCTATTAATAGTAAATAAATACATTTCTTCCAAAAGCCTGTATGCATATGTCTGAATATTTTTGTTCCAAATAAATACAATAGATATGATCTTCCACCCCATGTCCCTTTTTGTTCCCCACTTTACATGTAGATCAAAGCCAGGTGAGACTAGATGAAAATAAAACCCCACTGAGACCATAGAGCAGCATTTTTGTTGTACATTATTCACAGCCCAAATAAACACATATTTTTATACAATTGGCATTTTCTGCCATACCTGAAATGTCATGTGCTTTTCTATTTTCTTTTCACGCAGATAACGCCTGCCCATGGTAGACACTTCTCGCTGTGAGAAATAAACTTACCCTAGGAATTTATAATTCTGATAGAAAAAATAGCAACGCAATATTCAGAATCTGTTTCTAGTCACTATTTGTTATTTTTTTCTAGTTGAAAATAATGAGATCTCCAAAAACTTACCAGAAAAAGAAGTCACTCCTGATGTTCATACTGGGCTTGATTTAGACCATTATATGCCATTTAATACTTTGTAACAGTAAATTTCGTTTTTTAAAATGATCGTTGTTTCTGATGATGATCAAACTCTTCATCCTGCAAATCTTGCTTAGAAATTCTTTGTTAGAAAACTCACATTTTAACACATTTCTGTTTAGAAACAATGCGGTAAAGTGTGGGCAGTCAGAATTACTCGCGTTGTGATCACCAAAACTAAATGAAGCAGAATGAAATTTAAACAGCTGATTTTCCTAGCTGGCTAGGAGTTTTGGAAACTGGTCTCTTAGAGATTATCTTATTTAGACAGATTGAGGGAGAAGTTAGTTATTAAATGTCAGAACACCCCTCCCACTTATGACAAGAGTGACTTGTCATTTTAGTCTCATGCTCTGGGTTTTCCAAGACTCACTGGGCAACAAGATAGGATTTTTGCTTTCCTGGTACCAAAGAAACTGACCAAATGTCTTTATAGAGTATTCTTTTTTCTCCCCCTGCCTCACTGCCACTCAATTTGGCCTCAGTGCAACAGAAGATAAGAAGGATGTCCCCCAATACCTAACAGTCAGTGTTTCCTTGCCCAGATATTTCTTCATGAGGCTTCTATAATCCTGCAAGAAAGACTGTAGAGCCATTCTGGAAAGAGATAACAAATCCAGGTTTTAGGCATCGGATCTGGCACATAAGTTAAAAAAAAAAAAAGTGCCAGACTGTGAAAAGACCAAAACCTGAGAAGGGCCACTGGGATTACTTGGAAGAGACCAACCATATGTTTGTTACACTTGAGACTGATTGACTGTCCAAACTTGGTGGTGTTTTGTTAACCAATTTATCTTCGCTAGTAAAGCGTGTGTCTGTATCATGAGGCTAATAATACTCACAGCATAAACACACTGACATTTTCTACTGCAAGTGGTTGTCCTGTCCTTCTTTCACATTGTCTTGTTAGCCCCTTTTTTTCCTTCCTTTTCATCTATCTCTCACCAGCCTTTCATCTCTTCTTTTTCTTTCCTTCTCATTTTCCACTCCGTATAACTGGAGCTGCCAGTTCCTCTGGCATGCCTCCAATTCACTGCTTTCCTCTGACTGGTAGTATGTTTGGCAGTACACTGTGTCCTAAGGCTATATTTGAGAATTTTAGGTAGAAGCAGTAAATCCTGAGACAGGTTAATCCAAGGTTCTGAGAGAACAACATGTCTAACAGGACTCACCCCCCAAAATTCATCACACTGAGGACGTTTTGCCAAAGGCATTGCACTTGAGCAAATCAAGTATACTTTCCCTTCGCATCAATCTTCCCTTCATCCTCTGGTTGGTTTCATTCTATAGAGATGAGCAGAGATGGGAAGAAAGGCTGTTTAACAGGAGCCTTCTAGCTAACCATGGAACGACCTGGGTAGCACTGGATGAGACCCCACTGCCACAGCAGCACTAGTGAGCTGAACCACAGTCATATCAAAAGGGACAGAGAGTTCCTACGCGCTCTGCACCCTCCTCCCAGATAAGAATGTCTTTGCTCTGAGCAGGGTGAGATGCTCTGACTATGACTCCAGCCTGGAGATTGCTGGAATCTGTATTGGGGAGAAACCGCTGTTTGAAAAGCTCTCCCTTAGTTAAGTGAGTTTTTCATCTAACTCAACCTTAAGGAAAATATTTAGGTGCCCCTCTGTGATTATTTGTCTGGAAAAAACATGGATAAAGCAATCTTATGAAAAAACCTGACATTTGTTGCAGAGCCATTTTTAAAAATTACGTCATGACACCTTAAGCAAAAATACGTACCTTGACACCATAAACAGGCAACATGACTTTTTCCTTCGAATTTAAAAGAGAAAAAGGATGTTGATTTGGTGTGGTCCTGATTCTCCTTCCAGGTATCAGGCTAACTTGAACTCTTAGAAATACACTTACTGTATTTATCTGGTTATGGAAAAATCCAATGCAGGTCCACTTTGTAGTCACCAGTCATGAATCCTGCAGGAGAAAGGAGGGGGGCAGATTTAGCTGTCTAGCTTGAGGCCAAGTAGTTTCTGAGTTTATTTCCATGGTAACTACAATCATAGTATTGGTTATTAGGGTTAGTCTATGCTTTTCCTCTGAAAAAGAACTAGTGGACAAGGAAGAAAAGCTGAACAAGTTGCCAAACCTATCTCACCAGCACCTCCTTAGGCTTAAAGGCAGAGTGTCTGAATTATTTAATTCTAGAGCTAAAGGAGGACTTAGAGATCATCCACTTAAAATTTTCAGACCTGAGGAAATACTGTAGGCCAGGAGAGAAAAAAGTTAGCTTAACAAAGTCACAAAGGTCAAAAAGTTTTAAAACTACAAATGGGGATGGGGCGGGTGGGGGGAAGGGTAGGGTGGCAACACATGCATAATTGTTTGCCTTTTTAAATCGGTTTCATAATTGGAAAAAAATAAAAGTAAAATAAAAAATAAATCGGTTTCAGTTTTTTTGGTTGTTTTATTCTTAAATTTTTATTCTCTCCCTATAGGAAGAGGGCAGAATCTGACTCTAGAAAGAGCAGCATACCAAACAGTAAGGAGGTCCCTTCACACCATCCAACAGACCCAGTAGAACTGAGGCGCCTTAATTTCCAAACACCAGGTAAGAAGCATGACTCATCTTGTCCAGAACACAGTGTTTACTGAAAGTTTTATAGCCCCAATGACATCGCCATGAGAGGTGACTGTATCACTTTATTCCAACCAGTCGTTTATATTCTTTCTTTACTATTACTGAGACTCAGCAGAACATATATCTTGAAATTATATTCTTTGTGAAAATCTGAGGTGGGGTGGAAAAAGGAAAGAAATAATAATTTTCCTTCAAATTTTGGAAAGCCTAAAGTCTTAAAAATATTTGCCATTTTTATGAGCTTATTATCACACTTGATTGTTTTCAGTGACAGCTATCTGGAAAGAATCCAGTTTCTTACCTTATAAAGTGAATGAGTGGATGGATGGAATGTTACCTCATTCATCTTATTGGGAAAGAATACATTTTTTAAATCTATTTCCCTATTAATTTGTGTATGTGTTATTCTGAAAGAAAGGGGATGGGAAGAGAACAACAAGGGAAACAATTTGTATGTTACTTTTACTGAATTTCACCAACCAGTTGAGGTTTCTTGCTGAGCAGATGCTCAGAGTGATTGAGGATAGGAAATATATGTTTGTTTCTTAAAGAACATTAAGTGCTTCAACAGAGGAAAAATATTATTCCTGCTGAGGGGTGTTTTGTTCAGCATTGTTAATGCAAGGCTAACTCCATTTTGCCTTTTTTCACCTAAATCTTATTTATGCCAAAATGATGAATGGTAGAGACAGCTAAACTACACAGCTGAGTGATATTGTCTCAGTACCTGATGAAAATGAACACAATTAAAGAGCTGATCTAAGAAGTCCATTTGATGGTAATATTGTGTCCCAAATCATTTGAAAGTTTTCTGTGTCATTATGGTATACCACAGACTTACTAAACTACACATCTTCAGTGAATTGCTTGGAATTGAAAATGCACGGTTTACTGTATTTAGCATATGTGTTATTTTACATGTAGATATGCCATAGTAACTAGTAGCTATCCAGTTAAAAGAAATGCCTGGAATTTTAAATGTGACTCTACCAATCACCATAGACATGGGCTTTTTTTTAAAAAAAAAATTCTATCTCAAATGAGGTTTATTATTTAAAAAGCAAAGGTATACCTTCGTCAGTGTGACAATCAAAAGAAATTTTCCATATAACTAAATTTCTCCTGATGGGCATTTATTTAAGAGGCTCAGTATAAAGGCAAGGTTAGCAGCAAAATAGAGCCAGTGGGAGTGCTGCGCCTCGTCACCCCCAGCAACACGTGAATGGCTATCATGCAGAAGGGTTACTAGCAGAGTGCTGGCGGCTACAAGGGAAATACCAATGCCTTCAACCAAGATACCTCCATATTCAAGAATGCTAATAAGAATCTAATTTCCCCAACGTATGTGGGAATATTAGATCCCTTTATAGAGAGAACCTGCTAAGTTCCATATAAGTCACTGGAAAGAATGAAGGGTACAATTGAAGTGACATTGCTTTTATCAGCAACAGCTTTAACAAAATAAAATGGGGACTTAGACTTATGGTCAGTGTTAGTTACTCAGTCGTGTCCAACTCTTTACAGCCTCATGGACTGTAGCCCACCAGGCTCAACTGTCCATGGGATTCTCCAGGCAAGAATACTGGAGGAGGTAGCCATTCCCTCTCCAAGGGATCTTCCTGACCCAGGGATCAAACCTGGGTCTCCTGCATTGAGGGCAGATTCTGTACCATTTGAGCCACCAGAAGATACCGTTTAACTAAGATTAAACTTACCTCAAATGGATAGTGGAATAAAGTGGGCAAGCAGTAAAAAGGAGAGAGGTGGTTTAAGAGGAATAGAATAAAAGAGAAATTGTCCCAAGATCCTGGCACGTCTGTTCACCAGGGCAGCGTTATGCTGTAACCGCCTCTGTTAAGCAGTCTGGTTAAGTCTTGGTTTGTTGAAACAGTCTATGTGCCTGCCAGGCTCTAGAATGTGGCCTGCTGTCCTGAAAATCTGACCAGTTTACAAAGAAAATAGACTCACGTGTTAATGTAAAATTCATAGAGAATGTTGCAGTTTGCTTCAGCCAGTGTGGATTGTAGCCAGTGGCTATGAATTTAATTACTTGCCGATAGGATAAGAGCAGAAGTTGGGATTGTTAACCAAGTAACCTTATTGTGCTAATCCTCCCTGATTTGTAAATAATCAAGAGTTTTCCTGGATGATCAAATAAAATAATTCTTTTATTCTAAAACAGTTTTCTTAGGTATTGCACAGGAAGCAATTTTAATTTTTATTTATATTTTTGGACTTTAAACCATTCACCCTTCAGTTTCTGAAATGTGCTTTTATATACATCATACCTTTGTGTATATAGTTATGTACAACTATTATATAATATGACAATGTTGCTTAATGGTATGCATAAGTAGAGACTTAACAATCCACGATTTTCAATGAAATCAGAAACCTGTGATTTATATAACCAGCCCCTAGCACAGAATTTGATCTTGAAAGCAAATTGATTTCTACTTCTGATAAGTCTGTTGTGGATGATAAAATGTCTAACTAACATTATCATTTGAAATTCAGTAGGTCTTTCAGAAGGTAAAGGAAGCTTATTGCTTAGTTCACTGATTCTTAATTCTACTTCCCTTTAAAAAAAAATCATCTTGTGAATGAAAAATCTATTTACATTTTGAGTTACTTATTTTTGTTGGAGCGTCTGGGTTTAAAGAGCCAGATCTTTTTCCCAAATTCTGCTTCATATTCAAAAGATATTGAAACACACATACTAAATTTCATATAGATACAGTATTTGGCATTAAGTACTTCAAAGAAGTATTTCCCTAATTGTAATACCACAAACACATATGTCTCTGGGTCTGGGAAAGAAAAAGGTCAGAATTTTGTCTCTGGGCACTCAGCTGAAGCACAAAGTGAAAACAGAGAAATCTGTTCTTTTCATGATACCGTCTCTGTGAAGTTGTGGGATGTGGAGAGGAACTTTGCTTTACGCATACTTGCCAAATTTGGGGTGATAATCAGGTCCTTCTGTTTGTTAAACACTGTATTCAAGCATCTAGACAGGATTAGAAATGCTCGCACTCTCCAAATTAAGAGCAGGTACTTCTGCTTGTAGGTATTTTCCACGAATATATTTACCTGTCTGTTAAGGATTTCAGATGGCAGTATGCAGCCAGGTTGTAACTGTGAGAACCTGAGCTACCTAATCTCTTAAGAGACTATGGTTTACAGCGGTGACATCACTTAATGGTCTGCGGGGACAATCAGAACTGGTGTGGAATATGTCAATTGAAGGGATCATTTAGCTAAGGTGAGACTTACAACCTCAAGTGGATAATGGAATAAAATGGACACAATGAGTAAGTGAGGGAAGAGATGCAGTAGAAGAATGTTCTAGAATTAGTAACTAGTCATCAGTTTTTATAAATCTTTAAGATCTGTGAAGGAAGGGAAGAAAATACTCACTTATAAAAGATGCTTTTAATGAAACCCCTATTTAAGCCTTACACATCTCTGGACAGTGGTAACTGGATATGTGTTAGGATGGCTGATAGATGAGTTACATGTTAAACAAAAGTGAACTACTCTTTTGGTGGGAAGAAAGCTTTTCTTATGAAAAAAATTTCCAAGTTACTTTATAATCGGCCCAACAATATTTCTTAATTATAAAAATAGCACATGTTTACTGAGGAAAATTTTTTTAAATAGGAAGTAAGCTTAATAATAGTTATACTTAGGTTATGGCTATATGGTTGTGCAGTGTATTATTTAAATTTTGTGTGTGATTTTTATAAGTTGTAAAAGGCAAAAAATATACTTTTAGAAAAGAAAAATTACTCTATCTCACTTTTTCCTCTTTTGACATATTTAAAATAAAATGTAAATGATTTCCTATACTGTAATTTTACTCTCCAGGAATATCTACCATAAAGAGTTTCATGCATATATTTCCAGAATTTTTTGTGTATACAGTTCTTTAAATGATAATATATATATATATAGCAGCTATATAGATACAGATGCATTTACATGAAATTTCAGATTTTAATATTTTTAACTACATTTTCCAAGCTAATATATGAAGTTTTATCTCCTTTAACAGCTGATAGTATTGATGATATTCTGTTCAACAGATGTCACAAAATATATCATCTCAGTCCTTATTAATGGAGGTTAACTTATTTCCTGCATTTTGCTCTTACAAAACATACTGTACTGAGCAGTACTGAGCCCAGACCTTTTCACATTGCTGTTATTTCTGAATGATAGGCACCTGGAATTGTGATGGCTGAGTCCTAGGGCAGGCACATTTTACTTTACCATTTTGATAGAGATTGTCAATGATGGATATTTTTGAAATACTGTAAAAAGCCTTACCTACTGAGTGGCCATCTGGGATGTGGCCTCTTGAATTGGACACAATGACTAAAATAAATATAATATTGTCAAAAGATGGTGATTTATAAGAAAACCAAAATATTACTGGTATGTGGTCCTATTTCTATTTTTTCCAACAAAGCAAATTTAGAAGTCCAGCATCTTAAGGAAATAAGCTTGCTTTCTAGTATTAAAAAAAAAAATGTAAAGGAACATGTAACTAATACCATCATGTGGCATGCTAGTCAGCACCTTTCTTTGTGCCTGCAGACTTCTCCCTCAGACCAACCCACTATGGTCTGAATTGCTTAGAATTTTTTTTTTCCTAAAAAATTCTTTCTTCCAGTATCTCTACCCCTTACTTAGAATCCTCCCTCTTGCTACTCCCAATTTTTATTTTTTTCCACACAAAAACAAAACTCTAGACTTGCTCCTTTTAGGAAAAGAGATTTAAAAATTGATGATCAGATGGGACAATGTAAAAACCTCATTTTCATTCCATGAATGACCTTAATGTTTTGCCCTAAAGCATACATGGACGGTAGGTGATTGATGGGCTGTGAAAAACAAAAACAAACTCATAAAATGTTAACGTATCAGAAATAGCAGTATCAGCAACAGAAATGTCTGCATAGCAACTG